CTGAAGCATCAACCCCACGACCCAATATCAGGGTCTGTATATTGCATCCAACCAATTCACGCGTCATCATGGTGTCGCGGCGCAACCGGACCTTGCTGTCCTTGGCAATCTTCCTCGGGGTGCTGGGATGGAACGTGGCAGCTGCAGCCGTCAAGGGCGAGACCGGCGTGCCAGTAGGCAACCTGAGCGCCCATGAGATCGAAGAGCAATTGCAGGTACGCTTTTCACTCGCCAGTCTCGCTTAACATCCTTCACCATCACCTCGATTGTATAAAGGATAGCGCGCTCCTTTGACATTGGATGTCGTCCGAGATACCCTGATGTCGCGTGCTCATGGCGGTACTGATACCCAGCTAGGAGTGTCCCCTTGTGCAAGCTCTCAACCAGCACAAGGCAGCCTCGAACCCGACCACGTCCTCCCTCACCTCCCAGATCTTCGCCTTTCTATTTCCCGGCAGCCCTGCAGTCAATTCCCTGCTAGCGACGCTCTACATCTCCGGCCCACCAAACTTCCTCCTCGCACTATGTCCGCCCAACATCGACCCCTCCTCGCTCTCCGTCATGGTCGCATTCGCTGTAGGCGGACTGCTGGGTGACACCCTCTTCCACCTGCTCCCCGAAATCTTCTTGGGCGAGGAAGAGCACGATTCGGTCAAGTTCGTCATGGTCGAACCGAACAAAAACCTGTTGCTGGGTGTAGCTATCATGGTCGGCTTCATCACCTTCGTGGCCATGGACAAGGGACTTCGAATTGCGACGGGAGGCGAGGGTGGACACGACCACTCGCATGGGCACTCGCACGACAAAGTTGAGGCTTCCGCGAAGACAACAGGCGTTGACGTCGGCAGCTCCAAAGATGGTGTGCGCTCCAGGAAGTCTGGCGCAAATGGCACATCGTCTGTCGTAGAGACAGCAGAGAAAGAGATTAACGCCAGTGTCAAGCTTGGTGGTTACCTCAACCTCATTGCAGACTTCACCCACAACATCACCGACGGTCTGGCCCTCAGCTCCTCATTCTACGCCTCGCCTACGATCGGTGCCACTACAACTGTGGCTGTATTCTTCCATGAGATCCCTCACGAGGTCGGTGACTTCGCTCTCCTCATACAGTCTGGCTTCAGCAAGCGAGCAGCTATGGGGGCTCAGTTCGTTACCGCCGTCGGCGCTTTCTTAGGAACCTGCATTGGCATTGCTGTCCAAGAATTTGGAGGCAGCTCCGCCTCTGCTGACGTCCAAGGTCCTGGCATCATGGGTACTAGTCTGCAGTGGGGTGACATGCTACTACCATTCACTGCCGGTACTTTCCTCTATGTTGGCACTGTTGCTGTTATTCCTGAACTCCTCGAGACCGGTCCGAACAAAGGCCAAGAGCTCAGGAAGACTCTTATGCAATTCGCCGCCATGTTCACTGGCGCCGGAATCATGTTGTAGTAAGTCTCGCCATCCCTTGTTGTGGCTTAATGCTGACTTCCGTAGCATTTCATGGAATTAGAGTCTCTTACGAGTAGCTTGGCGGCCGCTCCGAGAATCTCCGTTCTCAGAGCGCCGTAGCTCTCACCATTGTTTATGAGACGATCTGCGAGGTTGGCATGCATGGCGCAATTTCAAAATGATAGAGCTTAGAATTTGACCTCGACAACGTACAGCGGGCATAAGCCGGCGCTGATCAAACTCGTATCTTGTAAATGCGCCAGAGTTGCCAACACGTAATTCCAATGGCGCTTTTCAGTCTGGCAAACTTCCCATTCTGGGCGCATCGTGAGATCAGCGTTGCTCTTCCGGACAACAACTCTTCTGCGAACTCGGCCCCGCGTCTCATGCTCTCTTCGGTCTTTTTCACAAATACTGGGTCTAGACCTTGCTCATAACTCATATTCCCGCGCAACATTAGCGACTCATTGGAACCGAACTCTACCAACGCGTAGGTTTGGCACAGATGTATCAAGATCTACTCACCACCATTATGACGCATTCAGAGTACTTTTCGCAAAAGGTAGCCGAAATCGGCTGCTTACACAGAAGGCCCGTGTGTGTTCCCTCCAAGTTCGTAGTGCTGACGGGCTACGTATCTTCAGCACCGAACACTGCACGACTGCACACCCCCAGGGCCCAACCTTCCCCGGATTACGGGCTTGTTCCCCCAAGGTTATTCCCGCTATGCCAGGGTCAAGACCGCCCCGGCGGTCGTGGCTGTGCGTTGTGAGAACTGGCTTCCGCCCAAGACCGATCAGTGCACGGTTTCAGCTCACGCTTATCTTGCATAACCACACCAGGTAGTCAGCTGCACGTTCATTTGGAGGTGTTCGTCGTGCGATTAGGCGTAGTTGTGCTTGCACGAGCTACACACGATTGGCCAGCTGGCTCCTCTTCTGCGCAATTGGGGTAAGGCGTGCAACGAGTGATCTTGGAGCATACCAGTTTGGTCACTAAGCCACACTTGCACACTAGCGTTGCCGCCTTACCGTCTTGACGAGCGCGAAGTGGCTGCCGAGTAACCGCCGCCTCTGTCATACATATGGGCCGCATGGTTGTCATGCCGCTGTCAGACTTATAATGTGCTAGATCCCACATCTCTCCTTGACTGACTTCTTGTTCTCCAGTGTTTGGAGTAGTGGTACTACGACGACTAGCGAACTGCGACTATACCTGCGTATAAAAGGCACAGGCATCCAGCCTCCATTTGAGATCTATCTATCAGGCTTCGCGACGTTATGAAAGAGTTGGCGTGCGACAAGAATATCTTTTCGCAGAACGACATGCACACGACTACCCGACCCCAATGCAGATATACGCCACGATACCGAGCGATCCTACCCACACTCCTGATCCTGCTATGCATACCGATCTTCTTCTACCAACTAGTACCGAAATATACACACGCCACCGACGGCTTCATATCATCTCTCACAAACACGCTTCGCCCACAATCGACGAGTACCTTTTGCACAAAACAAGTCGGAACGCCGCACTGCTGTGCCGTATACCTCGCCGCCGCACCCTGCCTCGACGAATGCAGGAAACAACACATGGACCGCGAAACGCTCTCTGTAACAGCAGAATATGAAAGTTGCGCAGACAAATGCTTGGTTGATTACCAAGAGACATGCAAGAAGGCGCAACATCCACGAACACCTAACAAGTCGTCACAACATGATTGAGCTATCCACATCAACAAAATACAAACAATTATCTACATGAACACCTTCATCACCCTGTACAACGACACAAACATAACACCCCGCATGCATGCCCAAGAAAAGAGGAGCCAAGAGGCTGGAACAGTGAAGAGGCGGTGCAGAGCGGGTACGCCAAGACTGAGGCGCAGGGGATGACCGGCTAGAACGGCACTGCACGGCCGCTCATGAGCTCAGTGATCTCGTGAACCGCGGCCGAGGGAGAAGGGGAATCTCGTCTCAGTAATCTTATGTTTCAGGCCATCACGTTGCTGGGACGTCGCGAGGTGGGGGCTGGGTTACTGTGGTGATGTGGTATAGGGTGATGGGCTGGGATGGGAGGGGAATTGGCCTTGAGGAAGCGAGGCGAAAAGTGTGGCTTGACACATTGCTAGGAATCCGTGCCAGAGAAGAGATTGGACAGATATGGGCATGTCCATCACCTTTCATATGTAACAATACAGCACAGGAGCTGCGAGAAGCGAATGCGTCTGCTCGGCAGAGGACATAGAGGAATACCAACATCACATAGACTCAACAACCTGCCCATGTCTACGCCTCGGATTTCGCACTCTGCATCTCCACAGCTCTCCGTTCTGCAATTTCCCATGTTGTAATTAGCAAGCATCTTAGGTCTTTGGCGTCGCCATGAAGATCGTGATGAGATCTAGAATGAAATCTCTGGTAACTGTTTAATGCCATACACATACCAGTAACATATGATATCTGATACGCTGCGGAGGTGATTTACGGAACTTAGCGATGCCGCGAAAATTACGTTCTGTAATGGTGTTCAATGCTTAACCTTCCCGCGGAGGAGGCTGCGCGTCTTTTTCGCGCTTAGTGCCATTCTTAGCGCGTGACGTCAGGGCTTACTGCAACACCATCTCTCATCATCGCTTCATGCTGTCTCTGCATCAACATTTATCGATACGGCATCAATACATCGCTATCTAGCATCATCATCACGATGAGATTGTGTGGTTCTTCCGACGCCTTCCATACGCGGCGATGCGTGCTAGATATCCGTGCATCGGCATGCAGCAGCGCGACAATTTGAGTTAGGAGAGTCTACGCATCTACGCCCGTCACTTCCGAAAACCTGAACTCGATAACATTTCAGACTGTATTTTCGCTTAATACGGTCGGCGTTGCAGTCTTGGGATCATATGATGCGTCTGGACGTCCACCGGTAGTTGGAGTATTGAGCATGCGGGAGGGATTGCTCACGATACGATACCGTGATTCTAGCAAGCATTGAGTGAGGCATTGCTCATCAACTTGCTGGAGAGCTACTCGAAAAGGATTCGCCATGTCGACGGGTGGGAACCTTCTGGTGCTTTGCCCCGCGATGCATTCCGGTTAAGAAAGTCGAAAGTCATGCGGGCATGGTCACATCATTTGTGATCAATGCGCATCTGATAGATGGTTTGGCGAATGATGGAATGGCATGTGTTCGGACTCTACCAGTCTAATTCATTTTGGCTCCCTGCGTTATCAACTTCGCCATCAGCAACGAATTGCTCACCGTACGATTCCAACGCCTCTAGTAGCACCAATTGCGACTCTCTCACCGTTCATTATCATCTCACCCTGACATGGTCTCGGTACGATAGCGCAGATGGCATTCTCACTCACCCGGCGCTCAAATGCAGACCCATAAAAAGAACTTTGTACCTTACGACCTATTGTGCTTCCTACCCTCTCTTTCGGCATCCAGGAAGCCTACCTGATTTTTCTGGAACTTGAGTAGCGAACCTAGAACAGTCTGTTCGAAAAGTCAGATACATGGACACGATGGCCACCTCAAGTTCCATCGTGCACAGCATGGCCGACCCTTCCACACCGACTGCAGCACCAGACCCGCCACCCAAATGTACCATCTGCAAGAGCGATCTTACTATCAGAGACAAGCAGAAGACCACGAAGAACTACTGGAAGAACTGCCAAAGCTGTCGGGATAAAATGAAGACGGCAGCGTCAAATCGAAAGCGGCTGCTAATGCCAGCCTCATCTACGATTGACTCAACTACAGATTCATCCGCGAAGAGACAAAAGAAGAAACCAGCGGAAGTGCCCAAGCCGAGACCAAGGTTCCGCAGGTTTCCCAGGACGTTCGTTCCAAAGACATCGCCGCGACAGAACAGCATCGCATCATACGAAGACCTGGATCCAATGTATAGGTCGGAAGTTGAAGCGATGCTAAAAGCACTCGCATCCGAACATGAGAAAAGAGACAAAGGGGATGAGAAAAGGGAGATACATGTCGAGGAGAGTGCGGACGAGCCTCATAATTCCACCCTCTCAGAGCAGCCGAATGAGAAGGAGTGCAGTTCCTGCGCGGACTTTATCCCGGCAGAACGCTTTCCAAGCCTTGAAAGCTGCGATCACGACGATAATGTCTGTCAGGAATGCTTGATTCAGTGGATGAATCAGCGGATGGCAAGCGCGGAAAACGTCACTTGTCCGTCCAGTGGTTGCACCAACGCAGTGACACATGCAGACGTTCGCAAATACGCGCCCCGAGATGTGTTCACTCGGTAAGTTTTCTAACACAAACACTCGTCAGAAGTCGTAGTTTCACCATTGCTTACATTAGTGAACAGATTCGACGAGCTCTCGATGCAAAGCTACCTCAGCGCTGACAAAAGCTTTCTCTATTGTCTCGCTGAAGGCTGCCCATCGGGCCAGATCCACGATACTGGGATGGAAGGCCCGATCTTCAGCTGCGCCGCTTGCGGATATCGCATGTGCACTGCCCACAATCCCGTCATACCGTTTCACGAGAATGAAGTATGCACGCAATACACCGAGCGAATTGAGCGCGAAAGAGTCGAACGCGAGGCACGAGACGAACAGGCACGCATCAGAAGAGAGCAAGAAGAAGCAAGTGTCGCCGAAGTTGGGAGATCTTCAGTAGAGTGTCCGGGCTGTGGAGCGCAGATCGAGAAAACGGACGGATGCGATCATATGACTTGTAAGTTTCATCCTTGTCCACTGCCTCTCAACTGATACTGACTTGACCAGGTCGTCGTAGATGCAAATTCCAATTCTGTTACCTTTGTCGAGCTCCATATGACGGTGCGCAAGGTATTCGCAGGATTGGCAATTCAGCGCATGCTGAGAGCTGTTTACACCACCCCAGGAAGCTTCCAGCTCATCCTGGAGATATTTGATGGTGGTTTAAGAGATACGGAACTTTCATTTCTGTGAAGGTGCACAGGCTCGACTAGAGTACCCTTCATAACGACTTTCCATTTGGTACAGCGGATGCAAAAGACTGAGAGAATGCGAGTATGGATGGCTCACATTTTGTGTGGACGCTATACAATACGGTCTTACATTATTGGATGGCTCTTCTTTTTCTGTTGGGGCAAGGGTCCAAATTATCCGTGCGATGCCAGCCATGAGGACGTCCTGAGACTGTCCCGGGTTTTATTGGAGGACAAATAGTTTTCTGCACGGTTACAAGGGCAACCGGGAAGTTAGCAACCACAGAATCATCATGACTTTCAATTTTCAGCTGGTACCACGCACTATTTTCTTGTATTCCTACACTGGATCGCGGATTTCTCAGTCGCATTACCCGCGAGGCACTTCTCAATCTCCGACACAACATTAGCGAGATGACTGCAAGAGTCAGTCAGCGGTTCACTCGCTAGCGCAGTTACGACAAGACCAAGCGCAACATTCACAAGCCCGTCAAGGCAACCAGCACTTGGGCTGCTCTCGGATTGGCACTATCTACGAATTCAAGCCTCTCGACAGGCTATGTACCGCGTGTGAAGATACACACCCACCGGAGGACGCCACCCGCTTACGGGAGTGTGAGCATTACCCTGGCGTATGTCGGAGCGGCATCGACAAATAGCTGAACAGCGATGTGGAGAACACGACTATCGCTCATAATCCTTGTCCTTCAACACAATGTTCTGCGGTGTTTGCAGTGAGAGATGTCGACGATTTCGCGTTCGCTGAACTGTTTGATCGGTAGGCCTTGTCATTTTTGGCTTACTTGCCGTTATCGATGTGTGTAGCTACGAGAAACTGATTCTTCAAACATTGCTCCACGACCTCCCAACCTCCGCTATCGCATCCGGTCAGGTACCTTTGAGCTATATGACGCTAGGGATAGCAAAATCTTCATCTGCAACCTGCGGTCTTGAAAGCTGCGTACACAATAACTCTACCTTTCACTTTGGCGAGACATGCGAGCAACACGGCTCCTGAAAGATTAGTGAGACTATAGAACTTCTGAACATGAGCAAGGCTACCATGGCTGTGAAAATGTGATAAGGGGGACGGCGATTTGCTTGGAGGCTGTAGCTTAATCGTTCGACGAGGTTGAGCGGGAAATCATACTTTTCATTCAGGTTTCAGTCACGCGATATGGTGGGTTTCAGCCATCGCCAGTATGCTAGCTGTGGAGAGCAAGTCAAGCTACCAGTAATTTGATTGACTCAGGGTAGCTATTGGATCGGCTGAAGATTGAGCTAAAGTCATAGACTTCAACCCCGCTTAAGGGCCCAAAGATCACAACTTGAGCCCAGTGATGTTGATTCACACGTCCTCCCGGGTTATGACTGTAGCGTACCAGCCACAATTTGGGCGGCATGCCACTGACAATGGTTACACGAAGGGTCACAGTACAATATAAAAGGTACACGCGTGCACTATATCTACTGTATCAAGGACCTTCTTCATACTAGCGAGACTTCACGTTGGCAGTTACAGTCCAAGCCTCACATTACCTCAGTCTAAAAGTACACAGGCATCTCTTAATCCACCAACAAAATAAATCATTATGTCCAGTTTATAACGTAGGAGATCCGAAGCGGTGCGATGGTTCCTTTGGAAGAACGTCATCAAATACGGCTGACCATTGGCCCTAAGCTCGAGGACTCGAGTTGTGACAACATTCGGAGGTTGCCAGAGCACGACTTCAACGTGCTGTGACTATGTCGCAACAGTCATACGCATTCGAGGAGTCATGATGCAGTATAAATTGATGTTTCAAGGCTGCTCTCCCTCCATATCAAGCCTCTACATCAATTCACATCGATACATCGATCATTGAAAGCTGTATCTAGCGGTAGCCACAAGACACTATCAGCTTTATACTCCTCGCCGCCCGAACAACTTGTATACAATATACATACAGCCCCTCAAGCACACAAAAATGTCTTCGCAACCAAACAGTTACCGCGATCCCAGCAAAAAGCCATTGACCACAGAAGAGCAAGACGGAAGTTATCATCTTCGCAAAGGACCAAAAGCCTATCGCCCAAAGGCGCCGAGCGACGACGCCGAAGCTTCCTACGCAAAAGGAGCAGGAGGTGGGGAGAGCGGCCAGACTGCAGGATCGGAGGCCCAAAGCTCATTGACGTTTACGGCCAAGCCGGTGAAGAAAGATGCAGGCGATGGAGAAGATAAACCCAAGATGGTCAAGGCGATATTGAGACCTAAGGTCAAGGGAAAAGATACAAAGGACGAGGGGGAAAGTGCACAAAAGAAGTGACCGAGATCATGATTTTGTGGACACCAGAAATGAGGTTATTGAGATTGATGAGCAGGACGAAGAGGGAACGTCAAACATGAAGCTACTGTACCAACACGAGTAAGACTCTTGCATAGATCCAATCTCAAACGGTGTTCCAAGTTGGTCATTGTGATGCAAGCGCAAGGTCCTAGGGATACCGTGTCTTTGTGATGTTAAACATGAACCGCGAGCGCTTTTCCATCTATGGCATACGGAATATACTTAGGTAAGAGTGCCTTTACGACGTTAACCCCAGGTTCGAGATCGATGTGCTGCATGTGCGGTATTATGCGAACTTGCTGGCATGGTTGTGTACGAACGTATAGCCGTTGACTTCATGTAGCGTCTACGAATAACTTGACGAAAGGCTCACGTCGTGTGTTCCTGACAATCACCTAGTGTTGAAGCTGTCGAAGGGTGACGGCAAGTGTCCCGTTGCGAGAGAGATGGAGACGCGACGATGCCTAAACGCGCATCGAGCGTTGACATGAGTTATAGAGTCACGTAGAGCCTATGACGAGGCTACACAAATGAGGGGATGAGCGACGAATTGTGGCAGTGTGTGCAAATGATGTAAGTGGTGTGGTAGATGGTACCCGTAAACGACAAAGAAGGTGATGATGCCGTGGATGCCAAGATTGACTGGCGTTGGTGGGGCTCAACGGCGTCACGCGTCGCGGCGCGTTCTTCTCGAGGTCCCAGCACCAAGCCCGCCTTTCACACCTCACGCAGCTGTGTACACATTGTAATATCTCAGCTAATACTCTCTGCTCTTGCGATACGCTACCCTCCGGAGATGCAACACATAGTTGGTCTGCTAGTCTTCCGCCGGCTTCTTGCGGACGCGACGCTCCAAATCACGCGAAATGTTATGCACACGCCGTAGCAGTCTGCGTGGCGCGCCTAACACGGAACCTCGAGAGATTACGCACTCTTGAAACGACGAAGCCGCAGTCGTATGCCACACGATGCCATATGTTATATTTTGGACAGGCTGGTCAGCCGACAGCAGCAGCCCCATACGTCAAACGCGCAACGTACTACAACATCTGACCTGATAATGTTCCGTACGCGCTACCCTACTGGGTTAGAGATCTTCTACCTTGTCGTTCATGGTAATGCAACATTGGTCTACTGTCCTAATCTTAACACCATAGCGCAACAGGCCCACGAATAACCTCCGGCACACCGCGAGATATCCAAATCCCCACCGTCTCGATGCGCGATACCCAACCGAAGCCGCTACACAAAATGGCGTATGCGATCGATATCCTCTCCGCGAGACAGTCACCTTTATGCAAATCCGCGCGATACTGCCTTGGTTACGGGCCAACGGAATGAACAACATCATGGCTGGGCCGACCTAAGATGCACATCAACATCTAGGCCAAAGCATAGAGACTAGTCAATATCCATATTAGGCACTGTACTTTTGGATCACAGCGTGCCTGATATGCACGAAATACTCAGGGTGTCTGGACATAGATATTTCACCCGAGTGGTGTAGGGATGTGGTGGAAAAGGCCGACTACACAAGCTTGAATCAAACACCACTATGCGCATCCGTCCAACATCGCCACATAACTCAGCCAACGCCACCCTAGTACTCCGGCCATTGCTACTGCATCTCGGCTTCTTTGAGGATATGCAGACAGTTTAACGCTCATCCGAAAGGAGATCAACAATACTCATCTACGATCCTCCATCGTATGTGTTTAGAACGTGAACAAAGCCAGAGGCCACATGAGGTAAACAGCGGGTAAAACCGTGAAGCAATGATTGAGTAGATAGTCGGTATCCTTTGTGGGCTTGATGTCTGCACGCAGCCTCACGTTGGCCTTTGTTGGTTTGTTCCTTTGTTACTCATCATTGACCCCAACGGCAGAAGACATACACAAAGCAGGTACAGCGCAACATGTGCCGAAGGCTCATGTTTGATTCCATAGATATGGGAAACTGTATAGAAGCTGATGGAGATTCAAAATGCGAACTCTCAATAGCTAGATGCACCCTACAAAGCCACTTCTGGACTACCTCATAGCTTCAGAAGTCTTAGAACACCTTACACGTCATCATGACGAAAGGACCACCGTACAAAACCGGGCAACCTTACTTTAAGAGGACTTTCGAGACATGGTGTCGGACTAACCGACCAGGATGGTCAAGAGGTAAGCCTTCAAAGATAGGCATGCTGAGATGGTAGCTTACTCTGTCAGACGATGTGAGATTGACCGCTCAAACCTTGTGGCATGGAGACATGGTCATTCAAAACTTCTTCCTCCGTAAAGTTGGGAAGAAGTTTAAGTATCCTATGCAACAACAACATCAGGTGCCAGCCGCACCATGGACCCAAAACGATGTAAATTTAGCAAGGGCAACTAGGCAGCTACCTGGTGCTGCGCCTCCTATCATTGCAGCTCCTCTGGTAGCTCATCCGGTAGCTCATCCGGCAGCTCCTCCAGTTCAACCCTACCCTTGCAGTTTTTGGCCCAACAGGCCGTGGCACGCAGATCCAGAAGACGCTTCTATCGGTCCGGAAATTACGATCGAGGCCATCAAGGATGACGTGTTTGAGGAGAGCCCTAGAGCAGACTGGATGGCTACAAAGCCATTCTTTTGGCCAATTCAAGATGAGCAAAACTGGGAGAACAAGAGGTTTCTCGGCGCTGGGGCCTCTGGCTGTGCGGGATTGTGGTGTCAAAGTGATGCCCAAGGTAACATATCAAGGGTATGTGACTTCAGGCATAGGATCATTACTCGGGTTTGAGAGAGCGTGCTGACAAAGAACAGCGGATAGTTATCAAGGAAGCGAGGCCTGACAAGATCCAATGGCGTGACCTTTGCTTTTGGCGAGATCAGTTGCCGTGCGAGATCCACATGCACCAGCTAGTCGACAACGGCCGCGTGGTATCTGATAGCGACGATGAGCCCGCTGGTTCTGATCATGAAACTCTGGTCAGACATCATGGTTACCGCTTGATGATGACCCAGCGGCGTTATCGCATCTTCTTCGACTACTACGAAGGCGGCAATCTTTGGCATGCTTTAGAAAAGCACTGCACCAGAATGAAGACATTCTATACCCAAGGCGAGGAACCAGGGCTTGATCATGACTGGGATGAGGAGTTCGGTTGCTACCGTGACTCAGAAGCGGTGCCCGGCGAGGCGGGATTGTGTGAGAAGATATCCGAAGGCCTTATCTGGAGAATTGCTAGCTCGCTCGTTCAAGCGTGTCAGATCCTGCATTTCGGCCAGGTCAGTATTGGAGGTGTGCAGAACACCACACCTGAGTGGAAACCGATCAAACACTGCGATATAAGACTTGACAACATCTTCATCAAGCCAGCAGCTGAGGAGAACGAGAATGAGGTCTGTGAACAACCTCCGCAGGATACGTTGGAGATCGTGTGCGCTAATCGGCCCAGTACCCAACATTCGTCTTGGCAGACTTCGGCCTCTCGTTTACGGACATGGGTGCTCCTGCAACTGACAACCCATATGAGTATGTCAGGGAAATGAAAGACGAACGATTTGCGCCTGTGAGTAACAAGGCTACAATCCGTATGTTTTTACAAAGTTAATTAGATGCAGGAACACCAGTCTGTAGTCAACGACGCAGCAAAAAGCGGTGGGGTAGTACCCCTAGACGAAAAGACAGATGTATGGCAGATGTACGTACACCACCATAGAATACCCGTTCGAATCTTACTAACTACAACCCTAGTGGTGCAGTACTTTACTCATTACTCAGCAATGGTTTCTTCCCCTCTCTCGGCCAAGGGCCATATCGCTTTGTCGAGAAATTTAACGCAACTGTACCTTTCGCCGGCGACCTGAGAACCATCGTCGACCCAGAGGATGACCCATGGAATGACATGTATTTCTTTCCTACTTTCAAACGTTACAGCGAGGATCTGAAGCGATTGGCGTTCGAGTGTCTGGCATGGCAATCGAGTGAACGGCCGACGTTGTTGGAGATGAGGAATAGGATCGACGATTTCCTTACGACGCACCCGGATGTTGCGAATGATCGGAATATGGAGTCGCTAGAGGTCGTTCGGGATTTGGAATTCGCGATTGGGCAACCTATGAATTAGACACGGCTTTAGTCTTGGCAGATCGATGCGCGACTTTGAAATCAGTACACGCCCAACGCTATGGCAACGGCTTCACAATATGCACTAATCTATCTGTAAATACGTGCTTGTATCCATGTCTTTGTCCTTCCGCATCAGCCATCTCCCGGCGTCGGCATAAGTGCCGCAACAGGAAGTTTGCATCTCTTTGTTCGGCCGTTGTAGACCTGAACGCACATTGCCGATATAGCCTTTTGGGGAATGAATCGAATGACAAGTTGTTCTAGCACATCCACCAATGCCACAGAAGTCACCACCCTATAAGTCCGATCTCCCCTACTTCAAACGCGACTGCGAAGTCTACTTCCCCACCAATGCCTCGACCATCACATGGAGCCGCGCCGAGCAAAACAACACGCTCAACACGCTATGGTATGGTAGTCGAATCATCCGCGATTACTACAACGCGCGAATCGGACGACGATAATTATTTGGTCTACCGACACCAAACCCCATACCAGATAACCCATTCAATGCGAGCGACGTCACGTTCGCGCGCGCAAATAAGAGTATGCCGCCGTATCGTAATGGGTTGGGAGGAACAGAGCCAGCGTGGGTGAATGCTCCGGCGGGATCCGGAGCGCTTGCGATGACTGTGCCACCGCCCGCTGCGGTCATTGCTGGCCCTGTTGTAGCGCCTGTTCATGCTGTTACAGTGCCGCCGCCACGGCCGGTGAACCGATACCCATTCGACTTCTGGCCACCTAAGCCGTGGGACGCGGAGCCAGATGACGCGACTTTAGGCATGACCATAAAAGTCATCAAGTCTAAAGAAGAGCCCGAGAACGGTGAGAAATGGATGGATGATACCCATGATCCATATGGCGACGGAAGAAGGTGGATAGGCGGGAAGTTCCTAGGTGCGGGTACTTTTGGATGCGCAGGTCTGTGGTGCGCAGTAGACGAAAACGATATTGTGACGGCCAGAATGGTCGTTAAAGAAGTGCGCCCTCATAACTGGAAATGGCGGGATCCGGCGTATTGGAGAGATCATCTCCCGCGCGAAATTCGCATACATGAGCGTATTGATGCGAATCGACCCGCTGCTGGCGCTGATACCTCGGGCTATGATAACTTGTTGAGGCATTTAGGATACAGATTGATGATGCAGCAGCGCCGCTTCAAATTGTACCTGGACTTCTGCGAAGGTGGCGATTTATTCCAGGGATTGAAAGAGCACTTTAACCGATGGAAAAGAGGACAAGCGACGGATAAAACTGAGCATCTCAAAGTCGTACCAGAGAGCTTGGTCTGGCATGTTCTGTCGCAGCTTGTTGATGCATGCCTGGTACTCCAAACGGGATCGAAAGATCCTGCGACAGCGGAGTCAGCTTGGCTACCAATCACGCATCTCGATATCTCGTTGAGCAACATCTTCTTGGAGCCAGCGGTTGACGATGCTTATCCAAACTGTGTCTTGAGCGACTTTGGTATGGCCATGTATGATCTGGAGCAGGGTGACGCTACAGTAAGACCTACAGACAACCCTCAGGAGTATGTGCTTGGCCATATCAGTTACAAGTACCCTCCCGTAAGTCAAAATTGCTCCGCATGCAGATGTCACGAGCAAATCGTACTGACCGCACCAGGAGCAACAACTTGTACGAGGTACTCCGCCTGACTTGACACCTTTGAATGAGAAGACGGATACCTGGAGCATCGGAGCAGCAATCTGGTACATGATTGCCAATCGTTCTGTCGCTGGTCCGCAGCGCGAACTGCATTACTCGGATGACATGCCGCAGAACGTGAACATTGGCGAAGCGGATCATGGGCGACTAGACGAGCCCGGGGCGAAACCGTTCGAAGGCTCGGGGTTTCCAGCACTGAGTAAATACTCGGAAGAGCTGAGGTCGTTGGTTGCGCGCTGCATGAATTGGGAGCAAGAGCATCGGCCAGATCTAGCTACACTGAGGGCCGATATCGATGCGTATCTGGCAAGCCACCCGACAGTAAGGGATAGCAGAGACTTTGGACCGCTGAGAATGTCGAACCTCGAACAAGGGCTGGGAATTGGAGATACGTTTGCAAGAAAGAGGAGGAAACCGGTCGCAGGAAAGCAGCCCCGTAAAATGCCAAAGGGGGACGAAGAGGATACAGAAGAGTAGCTCGAAGTCGTTGAGTGTGAGTTCTGCTTTGAAAGATTCTGTCGTCCGGCGGAACTAAGCGTCTTTCGCAGGTGATCGTGGAGTGTTTTTGACAGCACGTTGTCCGTCATCCCTTTGCCTGCGCTTTCCAGCCCCTCCGTTCAGCCTGTCATCGTTGCAGTTTTCTGGGTTTGAATGCATCTCCGGATCGATCTCTCGGTCTGATAGTACTCATGTGCCTGCGGCTAGCCCTTGTTCGAGTACGTCTCCGCCTTTGTCGCCGCCATCGTCCCTGCTTTGGCGTACGGCTTTACTGTTACCCGAGTCCGCGTATGCGATCGATTTCAGCAAGCTGCTTGCAACCCAGGGTTGTCCCGTGGCTGCCGGTGTGTAGGGCGCGTAGGGTATTGGTTTCGGATCGGTAAGCCGTAGCATGTGAGACGGTTTGGATCGATCGATTCTGGCATCGCGTTCTTTAGGGGCATGGCTTCCGTGCTATAATGCGCCGATAGTCTCTACTCTCTAGTTTAGTCTTCGGGTTAGATTCTAGCAGCAATGCGACATGCTCCAACGTATCTTCCGCATAACAGATACTGTTCGCATTCGTGTATTCGCCGACATCCCAACAGAAGTAGGCGTCATGGCCTTGGTACGCCCGTACGGTCGTGAATCTGTTCTCACATGGAGTTCGCGGTCAGTCGTAGCTACACATAGCTTCCAAGATCGTCAAATGACCCGAACCTGTTGCTGGAATGGGCACGAAGTGGAAACGGATTCACATGGCTGCAGAGGCCACGGACTATCGATGAGAGAAATAGGACGCGTAGTGTGCTAGGAGCGGGCTGTACTTGAAGTGAAGATAGTCGGGCGTGGTAGTCAACCTTGGGATGTGACATCAGGGCAAGACGCGGTGGAACGTGCGCGCCTATCTTATCAGACAGTGGCGGTGGAGTACCACCAAGCCACTAGGTACGAATACCGCAACAAACAAACACCTCTGCAGCATTCAAGAGAACTGACGAAAAATGCGAAACAGATTTCATGCAGAGGTTTCCTTCCTCAGGCACTACTAGCGTCGATTTTCCACCATACCTTAGTAGCGCTAATCTCATTCTTCATCCTACTCTTCACTTTGTCATCGCATGATCTCTCTTATTCCGTTGACCATCGCTTTATTTCACAACTTGAAGCTGTTCTGCACCAGCTTCTCGCTCAACATCCACAGCCGCTCAGCCAACCTCGGGTCAGTCGCGTATGGCATCGCATCACACATTTGACAGTCAGATAGCATGATGCCCTTTGATTCTGCTACTTTGTCAGTATTGACTTGTGCCGACTGAACCTTTACTTACCATCCAAAGCTGGGTCTAGCGCCGCAACCAGTACTGTCGCGGCACCTTGATCAAGGTTTTTCCAGAACGGACTGACACTTCGGATCGCAGCCTCGCCATCCGCGTCCAGATTCCGACTGAGACCAGTCCAGATGGCTAAGCTCGTCAGCGACTCTGAGACTACGTACCCAAAAGGCTTATGCAGTGGGGTACTCACATCCGGGATGCACAGCATAACTTCTCACACCCTTTCCTCCGTACTTCTCGTTCAAACCCACTGAAAACAGCATGTTCGCCGTCTTCGTCTGTGCATATGCCAGCCACCCATTGTACCCATCATCTGCGCCCTTCGCAAACGTCGGAGGAAGGGGCGCATGCCTCTCTTCTTCGGGTATCTCGTCGTTGCTCTTCTCCCAGTTGTAATCAGAGAAACGAACAGGGCTCAGCCGATGGCCAATAGAAGTGAGGTTGATGACGCGGGTGGCACCTTCATCTGAAGAGGAAGCAGAGGCTAGAACCTGAGGCATGAGTAGGTTGGTCAAGAGGAAGTGGCCAATATGGTTGGCGCCAAATTGACCTTCGAGGCCTTCTTTGGTAGTTTGACGCGTCGTTGTCATGATGCCAGCATTATTGATGATCAGATCCAGACGGCTCGTCAATTGCGACACTTCCTTTGCAGCAGTCTTGACAGATTCTTGAGACATCAAGTCAAGGAGGACTAATTTGACCATGACGTCTGGATAGGCATCTTGAATACTCTTCACGACCTCTTCTAGTTTAGACTTGGTGCGTGAGGCGAAAATGAGGAGCGCTGGGTTTTGGGAGGCGATCGAGAGGGCTATGGACGAGCCGATGCTTTCAGGGGATACACCGGTGATGAGCACTTTTCTTAGGTCAACATCAGCTTTCAACAGCATGAGGACATGGGCGTCCTACCATTCTTGCCGTGAATCCGATCGGCGAAAGCTTTCGCGACTTCAAGACCGCCCGTCTTCTCGTCCCATTCGGGATGTGTCAGAGTCGACATTTTATCCCTTGATATGATCAAGAAGTAACAGTCTGAGCCTTAAAATCTTATCAAGGGGAGTGCATAAGTCTTGCTCTCGCGATTCGTAGGACTGAGCTTGTTTACCATAGCAACTTCCATCTGTAAGCTTCGAGACTGCACGCAAATTTCCTCCCATGTCCGCAGCACCTGCCACCTTCGGGACAGATTGCGCTGGAAATGGACAAGTGCAGTTGGGGTGAAAGTTGCGGGGTACACGCTCGAGGGCTGGAGGCGGGGAAGGTTAGCGCCATGTGGGGCAGCTACAACCTATACTTCGCGTCCCCAATGACCTCGCATCACGCGTCAACATCCTTTAACCGGCAGATACGACTCCACCCCACGGAGGGGACATGCCGGGAGAGGCGTCCAGCACCTGCAGGCCCTCAGCGCCACGACTCGCGCTTGCACCCTCGGCCATCGGCTCCATCTCGCCTGGGTGAAGTTACTCAGAGGGATGGCTACATGGCCATATCGTCGGTAGATGCAGGGTTGCCGAGCCCCACGCTCACGAGCGATTACCTGGTCGATGCGTCTGGATACCTGGAATCTTTTCTCCCATCGAATCGCGTTGTGTTACCTCATTCCGCCCAGTCGTGAAGCTTGATCGAAGTCGCGTATGCCACTCCGTGCGAGAATAGACGAAGCCAGACTACCCAAGATGTCTTCTCTAGAGACCAATGACAACGGTCCAGTCACTAATGGCGCGAAGCCACCAACTGGCATCAAAGTCATCATTATCGGCGCAGGTACGTCCTTCACAGCAGTCCATGCCACAGCTCCGTTCTAACACACATCGCCAGGTTTCGGTGGCCTTACAGCAGCCATAGAGTGTATCCGGCACGGCCACACGCCTGTCATCTACGAATCCTTCCCCTCGCTCAAGATCCTCGGCGACATCATTACCTTTGGTCCCAATGCTGGGCGCATCTTCGCGCGTTGGAGTGATGGACGCGTCGCGCGCGACATGCGCAAGATCTCGATCGACCTCACTGAATATGGCTTCAACATTCACAAGTGGGATACTGGCGAGATTGTCATAAACCAGAAGACGCCGCCACGCGACGAGAAGGCGCCGAACTTCAATGGGCACCGCGGTGAACTGCACGAGATTGTGTTCAACTATGCCAAGGAGATCGGTGTGGAGATCAACTTGGGACAACGAGTGGAGAAATACTGGGAGGATGAGAAGGAGGCGGGCATCGTGCTAGAAGATGGCACGCGCGTTGCTGGCGACCTGGTGGTTGCGAGTGATGGTGTCCGAAGTAAGGCGAGAACACTGGTGTTGGGATACGAAGACAAGCCAAAGAGCAGTGGTTACGCCGTCTGGCGAGCTTGGTTCACCAACAAGGACATGATCGCAGACCCGGAGACAAAGCAGTTCTGCGAAAACGGTGATACATTTAACGGATGGATCGGTAAGCCTCCTTCCACCTTCGAGACTAATCGCATGCTAACAATCTCGTAGGCCCAGATGTACACTTCCTCTTCAGCACCATCAAAAACGGTACCGACTGCTGCTGGGTGCTCACCCACCGTGACGACCACGACATCGACGAATCCTGGTCCTTCCCCGGCTACCTCAAAGACGTCAAGACTGTGCTGGAGGGCTGGGATCCAATGTGCTGGAAGATCGTTTCCAAGACACCGGAAGAGAAACTCGTTGATTGGAAACTTGTATACCGGGACCCGTTGCCCAACTGGGTTTCAGGTTATGGCTCCGCGCCAGGTCACGGCCGGATATGCTTGCTAGGCGATGCAGCGCATCCCTTCCTTCCAACAAGTGCGCAAGGTGCGACGCAAGCACTCGAAGATGGTGTTACACTCGCCGTGTTGCTACGAAAAGCTGGAAAGGATAACGTACGAGGCGCGTTACGAGCATACCAGGATATACGCTACGATCGTGTCAAGGCTGTGCAGAAAACGGGTGAGACAACGAGGGATATGTGGCACAAGACGGATTGGGAGAAGGTGAAGAAGGACCCCACGCTGATTCAGTTCCCAAGAGAGGATTGGGTATTCCAACATGATGCTGAGAAGCATGCGGAGGAACTGGGGGATGAGTCGATCAAGAAGGCTAGTGCTGTTGCTGCGTAGATAAATCGAGCGGAAACCCATAAGGATACGCTCATCAACATTTTAAAGTTTATTGAAACTGCTTCATGATGTATCTGTGGCAAATGGTATCTGTCTTGCATGATGTCTCCGAAAAAGTGCACAGCTCAGAGGCACGTAAGTCACGTCCAGCCTTCCGTCAGTTCGGTAGTAACACCGAGACACATCAGCAATGACGACGAAGCAGAAGACACGTAGTAAAGGGAGTGAGAAAATCGATCGATTCCAAGGGCAAAGCCTAACTGTATGTGCGAGCCAGAGGCGTCAAGCGACGTCTCCTTCCACAGAAAGATCCACTCATTGCAGCAAGTCTTAGCTCAGCCACTCTTCTCAGTACCGACAACCTCGTGATGCACAACTTCATCCTTGTCGCTATCGCGTCTCTCGATCTTGTCGTCAACACCAGCTGCGACACGGCCAGTGCAGACGTACTTCCTGAACTTGCGCGCCGGAAGCCTGGCCTCAAACATCTCGTCAATCTCTTCGAGAGTGCGGTTCTTGATCTCGGGTAGGTAGAAGTACACCCATGCTGCCGTGATGAAGCAAGATGGTCCCCAGATCCAGCCTGAATAGGACGTTAGTATGTTCATGAGGTAGACAGTGATGAATGTGGGTGTCTTACCATATTCAGGGCCCCAGTTGAGGGAGTCAGGGTTGATGAAGTATGGTGCAGTGAATGTAGTGAGCCAGGCACCTGCGAAAGCGACTGCCGATGCGATACCAAACGTGTATGAGCGCAGACGCTGCGATGGAATTTCTCCACCTGAAAGCCAAGCATAGGCGGCGATCATGCCGTTGTAGCCGATGATGTAGATGACTGAGAGACCGACGATGGCCTTTGATACGTCAGTAAGAAGCTCGCATAATTCACGAAGGGGAATAAGCGTACCTTTCCAGTGCTAGTCGTGCCTGGGTTTACGTGGTAGACAGCGGCGATGATAAGTTGCGTGACACCACAGATAGAAAGACCAGTCATAAGGAAAACGCGGCGGCGACCGATCTTCGATATTACACTGCTGTTAATCATGACTACAACGACACCAACGGCCGTCAAGATGCAGGAGTTCATGAAGGGGCTACCGACATTCGCCATCTTGCTTAATGTTAGCCCGGCATACTCTAGAGAACGGGAGCGATGCACTGACCTGGAAGAAGTACGTTCCATACGCAATTACAAACATGGCACCCGAAGCAGCCTGAGTCGATACCGCAGCGATAGCCAACAGCGTGCGCCTACGATCAACAGGATCTTTCCAAATGTCCAAGAAGTTCGCGCTCGACTTGACAGCCTTCTCCGCATCAATGGCTGCTTGAATTTCTGCTACTTCACCGGGAACGCTCTCGGGATGAGGACGCATCCATAAGAGCGCCTTCTCAGCCTGTGCTGGCTGTTCGACTAGGGTTAGCCAACGTGGCGACTCGGGAATGAAGAACAGGCCGAGAGACATGAGGACCGGGACGATGAAGATAGTGCCGAGTGGGATGATGTACGAGTCCCGACCGGCCATGTCGTGTGTTGCGTTGTCGATCACAGTACCGATGAGCGTGCCGACCGAAGTCCAGATCTGGAAAACGGATATCATGAGACCGCGGTATCGAGCTGGCGCTGATTCCTAGTCGTATTTCAGTAAAGCATTGTACGAATGAAGAAGATACGAACCTGAATGTACAACTGCGAGAATGTCATGTACCATCCATTTGCAATCCCAATCAAGAGCCTTCCAGAGTACAGCCCCGCAATGTTGGTCGTAGTCATCATGACAATGTTCGCAACGCAGCAAAGCGCACTGGCCAGCCAGAGACATTGGCGCCTTCCCAGCTTCTTCGCGAAGACACCGGCGAACATTGAACTGATGAAAGCGCCTAGTGTCATCAAAGACGAGATGAGTTGCTGACGCTCGGGAGAGATGTTGTAACCTATGGGCGACATAGGATCAGGATGGCCAAAGACTTCGAGAAAGCCGCGCATGGCTTGAAGACCGCCGATGGCACCAAAGTCGATGCCGTATTGGAACGGCGACATGGAAACGAGGGTGCATGCCGCGAGGCATTTCCAATTGGAAAGCAGACTGCTTGTAAGATCCGGCATTTTGGTGGGTTCTCTCTCCAAAGATGGAGATGAAGAATTTCAAGAGATGCGGCGAGGTTTTACTCGATGTTGCGAAGTAGGGTTAGCTTCAAGAAGCGATAAACTTTCAACTAAAAGAGGCCAGCACCAGCGATCCTGTTGCTTCGTAACAGGGCATCCCTTTCATCCACACTGGCATGCAGATCTTTGTGAATGTGGTCCCATTCCTGTCCCAATATATGCCGATAGTGCCTGGAAATGCTTAGCTTGCTCCTACCCCGGAATGCACAGGCAGTCTAAAGTGTGGAGCGCGGAGGTGGCGCCCGGCCATGTACTATATTGGAGGTATTAAGGCTGGTACTTCCCGTTTCCGCGTGGCGTATGAGGCCATCATTACGATGTCCGGTAGCTAGATAGGAAGAGTGACAAAACGCCCGGCAGTTTCTGCCGTTTTAGTACTTGTCTTGCTACCCGCTATCTGTATGGAATAGCACATGGCTAGGCTGTCGCTTCGAAACTTTATCAACGTCGCCACCATGACCTGTCTAGAAATATGCGACATCGGAAAACCAACATCGACTTCACAATCAAGGAGACCCAGGGGATTTCGCAGGCTGTACGGTACTACCAGGCGGTCGGAGCGATAACGCCGTGTGACATTGGACATGATCGTGAAGTACGGTAAAGATCTGCGTGTACTAACTTTCACAGCTGTGCATAGCGAGTCAATAAACTTCATGCCCTCCACTTCGGAATCGGGAAGTGGAGAGACACATGCCCGCCTGAAGGATCAAAGTACTCGAAGCAAGTGTTGCGATCCGCTAATGTGGACAGAAAACGAAGTTGGTGGTTGAGAGGCGGGGAAAGTCGACTGTAAAGGTGGTGGGGCACTTTCCAGATAGAACCTTGCAACTCTACAGGCATGCCGTCTACGTAGTATGGAATCTGAAGCGGCAAACAGTGTCTAAGACAACGTGTTCTTCAGGCTAGACTCAGGAGTCTCTCAGACTACCCTCCTTGACCATATCCACAACGTTCATGAAGGTATCGTACATGTAGCTACGCCGCTTCTGCCCTTGCTCATTTTCGAAGACCAACCTCCATTCATCCTTCTTCCTAAAACCGTCCCAATTCACTTTTACCCAACCGTGGCAGGCTGCATCAGAGTCACAGTGGTTGTTGTTGACATCTTCATGCAGTTCTGCGTCGTCGTTCTCGACAATATCATCAGCAAGATACCTGCCTACTATCATAGTCCTCTCATGAAAGTAGAAGTTCTCGGTCTCGTAGTAGCTTATGGCCGAATTGGCGCAAGCCGTGAAGAAAGCGCGAAGGGTATTCGGGTAATGGAAGTTCGTGTTATTGAGGACAATGCGACGGATCGTAGAGGAGTGTACGTTGATGATACTCGCGAGTGTAGGTGCAGTAGTGCTCGTAACGAGTCCGTTGATATGGAGCGAACGTAGGCGGAATGGAGGACTGCCGCCCAATAGCTGGAGCAGAGGAGCCCACCTCTCGTTGCGGACCTGATAATCTTTGATAGCCTGGGCGCCAACAGACAAAGCCAATGCTCGGAGATTCGCATTGCTCTTGATAAGCTTGACGAGGGCCAACATGTATGTATTAGCGCTGAAGGTGGCCATGTCGAGTTCCAGGTTCAATGACGTTAAGCCACGTAAGGCAGGTGCAATCGCCTCGAAGAGCGACTTTGGACTACCCAGTAGCGCTGTCTGCCACCTCAACTCGAACCCTACAACCCTGAACTCTTCAAGCTGCTGTGGCGCAAATCGTATGGCGTCCACCAGAGCCTGCATGACCCTGTATATGGGAAGCGCATGGGCGTAGCACGATTTGTCAGCCATCCCTTTTGGCGCAGGAGGTGCGCAAAGCGTGATACTCTTCAGATTCGGTAGACGCAGAAAGATACCGCTGAACAAGTTTCGTACGTCAGATTCGCTGAGCGTGGTTCCAATGCAAGGCGTTGTCGTTGTGTCCAGGCTTAAACTGTATCGCACGCTCATCGGTGACCGACATTCCAACATGGAGTATATCTCGAGTGCGCGAATGCGGTTGGCAAATCGTAAATGGGACAGGTCGTCGAGACGTTTGATACTCGTTACGGTGGTTCGACATCTTCGACTGGAAAACTTCGCTTCGGTCTAAGTAGAGTGGTTAGCGACTCATTAACGAGCACCCTGGAATGAGATAGAGTACAAGCTAGGGAAAGATCGAGCTTTGGACAGGGGAAGAAGGTACTTACAAGAGCATGATCGATGGCCTGTAATAAAGTCCGACTGCCGAGCGTTTGTAGTATGCTCAGAGATTCTTTGTCGAGATTCTCAGCGATCATGCCAATGAGCTCACTGGGTAGATCTTCCAGACTTCGCCCGACTGGCGGTGATCTGTAGTCAGACATGAACACATCAATGTCTGTGTGATCCATGATAGCCCTGTCCTCGGGCGTAAAGCTGTCCTCGTCCATGTTAGATGATGTTGTGTGGCTGAAGGTGCTCGGGGTGAAGTTAAAATGTTGCAGATTTTGTGTGTGGGTTCGAGATGAATGGCGGTACGAGTGATGCGAGCGGTGGCTACCATGGTCCTGGCTGGCGATAGGGAGGGCTATCTGTGGCACCACCCCATTCAAAAAGGGAGCTGAACAGGCGCCCTTCAGCCTACATTAGTGTTGGAACAAGTGTTAGCAAGATTGTAATGCAACGTAGGTATCCTGTGTTGTTTCGTTCTATCTCTTTTGAAGACGGGTGTCCAATTTTCCCCTCGAATGGGTGGCATAGAGTGGTACTGCTTCCCTGGTCCACAAAGGAGAAGACCCTTTCGGTCACTACGTCCGAATTCTGGCTGACCATATACAGTCGGGATTTCGAGGGCGTTATGTTCGTCATGGCTTTCTACGCGGATGTTCGCGCGCATCGCGTACGGCGCAGTCGAGTTGAAGGAGGAGAGCATAGGGTGCTAGGGGATTATGGTGCTCTCAGTGCTCGAGTTGTGATGGGAAGTGCAATAGTAGGTACCAGATAAAATACGTTGCGATGAAGGGCATCGTGATTTCGGTGTCGACATGTTCAGAGACGTCGATGATGCCCAGGTGCGTTCGGCGCTACTGCGTAGCTAAGCATCGCGTCGCGTCGCGTCCGGGGTTCGGCACAACACCTGCCGCAAGCTCCTTGCCTGCCGCCTCAAGTGCGCATCCGGCACCATGCCCACAGATGCTGGCCCATCCTTCCGTGCATCAATGCGAGAGACTTGCATGTCTTCGGGTGTGAAATGCCCACGAAGCTGCAAACTTTACCCGGCTGTCTATGCCCCACCCCCGCGATGTGGGGTTAGGCGTTGTGCGCATGCAACCCTCCGAGGATGGCTACTCTCAATGCTGCTGGCGGCGATGCCTGTTGATTAGCAAGCTCTGATTCATGTGTTTGTTCATTGGTCGCTTCATAACAGGCGCGTCGTGCGAGCTGCAATGCACCCCTTGGTCTCGACTGTTGCTTGGAGCAATCTTCTTCTGAGTAGCATTCCCAGTGCCCACGATCAATACAGCGGAAGGCATGGCGATAGAGCAAATCTTCGAGGCGTTGCCTCTACATTATTTGCAGCATGGCATCTCCAAGTTTGGCGCTGGCAATGTCGCCTTGGCAGTCTTCTGGACTGCAGTCCTAGGTGTACTTGCAGACTATGCTTGGATGCTGTACATGAGATCGAAGATGGTAAGAGCGACACACTATATCCGATGATGGTACTAACGTTGAGTAGCCCCCAGGGCCCTTCCCGTACCCCATCGTTGGCAACACGTTCCAGCTGCCTGACAACAAGCCCTGGATTTTCTTCGAAGAGCTATCCAAGAAATACAACACGCCGCTGATAACGTATTGGATCGGACGTAACCCAACCGTTTGGATCAACGATGCATGGACCGCAAATGAATTACTCGACAAAAGAGCTGGCATATACTGCTCGCGACCGCGCATGCTTGTTTTTGCCGAACTCGGATCGGGCCAAAACAACCTCGTGAATCTGATCACTACTACACAAGCGCAGCGTGAGCGCTTCCGGATGCTGCGCAAGGTAACGCATCAAGGCGTTGGCATTCAACAGGTGAAGAAGTACCGCGACTTCCAGAATGATGAGAGCAAAGTCGTCGCCCTCGATCTCCTGAGTACCCCCGAAGACTATGTCGCGCACTTTGAACGCTACGCGACCAGTGTGGTCTCTATCATCGGCTTTGGAAGACGCGTTGCAAGCCACGAAGATCCAATCATCACCGAGGTCATTGCATTGATGCATCGAGCAGCTGATCTGAATGTGCCGGGAAAGACATTCCCTATGCTAATGGAAACCTTTCCGATTCTTGCTCGCGTGCCTACAGAATATGCCCCCTGGAAGCACGGCATGGGATCGAAGAAGAAGTCATCCCGCGGCCATGACTTCTTTTATTCCCTCGCCAGAGAAGCAAATGAGAAGCCAGGACACGAAGACTGCTATTCAAAGATGTTGTTTCGCGAGCAGGAGAAATACGGTCTCAATCACAAGGAGATTTCGGCATTAACCGGTAACCTGTTCGGCGCGGGGTCCGACACATCAAGTAGTACGCTCATCACCGCTGTCCTCGCCATGCGAGCGTTCCCAGAAACTATGCAGGCCGCGTGGGAAGAGTTGGATCGCGTTGTCGGAGAGGACCGTAGCCCTTCGTTCGAAGACGATGCAAACCTGCCTTATATGCGAGCATTTGTAAAGGAAGTGTTCCGATGGCGATCAGTAGCCATCATTGGTGGACAACCGCACGCTCCAGTTCAAGACGATTACTACAACGATTATCTGATTCCGCAATCCGCATGGGTACAGGGCAATGTTTGGGCGATACACCATAACGAGCGTGACTTTCCTGAACCCGACCGTTTCAACCCGAACCGTTTCTTGAAGGACCATCCTGATTCGCGACCCTTCCCCGGCGAAAGAGGGTACATGACATTTGGTTGGGGTCGTCGAGTGTGCTCAGGTCAGGCGCTTGCGGAGCAGGGCACATGGCTGACGGTAGCGCGATTGGTATGGGGCTTCAGGATCGAGCCAGCACTAGATGAGAATGGCAAGCCTATCCCGGTCGACATATTTGACTACACGTAAGTTTCCAGTGGAAGGAGATCAGCATGTGAGATACTGACATCTTCAAGCAACGGTTTAAATATGCGGCCGCAGCCGTTCAAAGTGAGCATAAAGCCACGGACCGAGAGAATACGTCAAGCTATCATAAGAGAGGGCGAACAGGCATTGGCAGACCTCGCGCAATACGAGGGTGAAACGAAGTATCGCATGAGTACATTCTACAAGAAATAGAGCTTGCTATGAGGAGGCTGCGGTGGTGACAAGTTTGGCAGTAGTGAGTGAGCGGACATGTAGACTCGATTAGCCAAGGCGGATTTCGGTCCACCTCTTCTTGACAGGTGCTGTTTCGAACACGATCGATGTCATCCCAGTACCAACTCGTTCCCAATGCGAACCTCGGCACTGAACTACCAAGACATGACATTCTCGATCATGTCCATATTCGAGATACCATGGCAATCGCAGTACGTATGACTCGAGAAGAAAGCTGGGAAAGTCTTTTGCTGTAGGTATAACATCCACAAATGTTAGTGCCGATTCTGTCCGGGTGATATCCGGGTCAGACTCAAGACGATAGGTGCGAGAGATATGCGAACGGGGCAGCGGGGGCGGCATAATTCGAGTAATGTAGGCGCTGATGTGGATATATCTGCTCGGTATCTCTGTGGAAGTAACGCTGGAACTGTATATTTCTTGGTAGGTGTTCCAATCGATGATCTTTCCAGATTGGAGCTCTAGCTTAACCACGCATGGGATTTTACTTGTAGTTCGATGTCGTCTCATCATGAACAACATCTTTAACCCTTTTGCCCATCTGACGGTACCGGCCCATCCTGACCACGACCAGCTGGGAAAGTCAACTCGTCGTCTAGCTGGAAATTCCACGTCCCAGCTCAAGTTACTGACGAACTTTTGGTTCGATATAGCAAGTGGTGTACTGCCCGATCGAAGAGGATCGCTGTCACAGTACGGCAGTCCCCAAAGGTGTTTAAGACGATCTGAGTGTTCCAGCGATGCAAATATTCCAAGCATTGCATTCAGTATATCGCTTTCATAGGTGAGCGAGCGCCTTGAGAATGCTTCAATACGGTCGAGGACGATCATAGCGTGGCTGTGGATAGTTGGGAAGAGGCCTGGGTCGGTTTCGTTGAAGGCGTCGAACCAGGATCCAGTACTCTCCTCGCCACGGCGCCAGAATATATCTTCGCGAGCCATCCAGCCTTCCATTCGAAATCTTTCCTGGCATTCAAAGTACAGTTGAGTGTCAGTGAAGACAAGGCGCCTAGTCGGAAGCAAACCCTCTTGATATGTCCAACCTCTTGTACTCCATGTCGTGCTCTCTAAGGTGTCGCTACAGAAGATGGGAGTGGAATCGAGTGTTCGATGCCCAATGTGGACAGCTTGGTTTACTTTGCGTCGCCGGCTAACACCTGGCAGTCCGTAATTACCGTCAGATCCGGCCGCTGCGATGATTGTCAAGACGGATCCTGCGTAGATCTTATCCATCTGTTTGAGCTGTCGATGAAAGTCTTCCGAAGACTTCTCAAGACAGTATCTATCGACCCACAGGTAGTCATACCCAAGCATGAGCGTGACTTTGATGGCATCCTCGATAGTTTTAGGTAAATTGGACGACAAAACGTCAGGCTCCAATGACTCAACGCCTGCTTGCTGATCATCCGGCTTGCCCCACACATAGCTCAATGTCACATACGATCCGCTTTGTGGTAGTTTTCCAACCAAGCGACTTCTGCAGTCGATAACTCTCAGATTGCGTACTTTGGTGTCGTGTTTGGATCCACTCAATATGCGAGGTATATGGCATTCATGCTTCTGTACGCATGAGGCGATCCACTCGCGGGCTTCTGTGTAATCATCGATCAAAGGTGTGATTGCTCGCAGATTCTGACTGATGGGTCCATCCGGATCGAAAATGATGGAACTGCGGATACCGAGAAGATCAAAAAGACTGTACTCCCCGCGCCGTTCAATACAAAGTATGGGTGCTTCGATCTTTTCGAGAAGAGGTGTTACTGCGACGTGAGATTGCACTGCATTAAGGCTGCACATCGCGCCTTCTGGCACCTGACCCATACTGCCGGATAAGAATCTGCAGAGACTACAACTTTCTGGCTTCAACCGAGTTATTTTCAAGACGGTTCGGACCGGTACCCCAGGGTTGAATCGAAGTGCATCGTCCAGATCGAAAGCTGCGCACTGCGAACAGAGATTATTAGGCGATTCGACCGCCATCGGGCTTTGAGGAAGAGGATATGATGCCATGGCCCGACAGATCTTCTGGAATCGCAGTCGATCCGCATGAGCTGATCTTGGTTTGGTTTAAATCTGGGTGCGGAATTGCGCAGAGGCGGAAGTAGAACAACTGCGCCACATGCCTGCAGGACGCCCGAATCACTCGGTAGCCAGTAATACACCGTTAGCTCAGCAGCGCAAAATGGGGAAACTTGGATTCGATTTGACTGCAGCATCGCTGTTAGCGTTGAGCATAACCCCAAAGTGAAGAAAAGCTTCTCCTAAAGCGCTGATGGGGTTTAGACGTCGCTTGTATCTTCTTCATGACGCGACCGCTTGAGGCAATGGTGAGGATGGTGGAAAGGCCGTTCCCGATGATATTGTCGCCTTGAACATCAGGAGCGTCATCCGTGATCAACGCCAGATCAGAATTTGCCTGTTACGGGCAGACCTGCTGATGTAAGCGCGCACGTACCACTGCGTCATCGCGGTGCCCTCCCCTTGCGGACACCGAAAACGAAAACTTCTTGCACCACTGTACAGGTCCTCTCGAAAAAAGAGAAGTAGCGTCAACACAAGAGCTTGCACCACTGTACCGTTGTTGTTTGTCGTGACCTGGCAAATTTTATCGCACTTACATCGAATGCATTGGGCCTACCTAGGTAGACGCAATTTGACATCCGCGGTGTCGCACACTGACGACATCAATTGGATAACGATGAAGCAACCCCGCGCTTCTATCGCTCAAATCTCGGCCAGGTCTTCACCTAGTATCAACGATGGCGAGTTGAAGTTATCGAGAATGCTTCATTCACCATGCCATTTTCCGTCATCGGGAATAGCAGGCAGCTCAAACCGTTGATCGTTGGTGTATTACACAGCACAGTTCGCCTACGAGATCCTTTGAAACACGACCTCTGAAGCTCCATTGTCTGGGCGCATTTTCTCCTGTTTTCGGCACTTATCTTTTGTGCGGCAAAGAAGTCATCTCTTTGTTGTAGTATGAGCCATTCGCTCCTCATCAAAACAGCGTTCTGCGCAATGGAAGACGAACTACTCACAGATGTCGTACCTTTGACAAAAGCTATCATCTTTTCTATCGACTCAGCTCTTGTGCCCAGCAAACTAAATGGCTCCACCGTACAAGACTTATTTCAACTATTTCAGACATGATGCCAACGAGTTCATCCATCAGAACAGAAATTGGACAACTCGTGAGTAGATTAGCTAAGTGCAGACAAAGATCACTTGCTTATAGTAGCCACCAGCGGAACGTCTCCAGACAATTTCTACTATATGGGCCGGGGATGGGAACGTCAAAAATTACTATGCTACTCAAACCCAGAATGCGAGTGGAAATTGGAAGGCGACCAGTCCTGGATTGCCAAACCCGAACCCAATACCAGTGAATCCATTCACGGCTGCAGACGTTAGCCATGCAAAGACTACGCAAACTATGCCTGCACCTGCACTTGCCCCCGGAGAGAATGTTCCGCCTTCCGCCGCTGCTCCTGTTTACGTTTCGTCTAACCTACACGACTTCTGGCCAAGGCTGCCATGGTCTGCACCGGACGAACTCGCTCCACCATTCTTTGACATGCAAGCGTTAAAAGACGATGTTGATTTCGTAAAGAGATATTGGCTTGACACTGAGCCGCGCATGCCTCCACCAAACGACAACTCTCGTTGGCATGGTATCAAGATATTAGGATCTGGTAGCTACGGCGCAGCCGGCTTATGGGTCGAAGCCGATGCAGCAAACAACATTCGTGACGTATGTATCTAGCCACAGACACGATCAGTGTCCTTTCCTCAGCGACAAGCTAACCTCAACATCAGAGAATGGTGATCAAAGAAGCCAAAGCCTTCACACCAGGCCGATGGCGCGATCCCAAGAATTGGCGGGACCGATTGCCACAAGAAATACGTATCCACCAGCTGCTCGAAGAACGTCGTGCCGTGGACCCAGCCATGTGTCGCCATATCATCCGTTGCCGCGCACATCGACTATGGATGGAACATAGAAGATACAGATTGTACCTAGATTACCATTCGGGTGGCGACATGAATGCGGCAATGACATTTCATGCTAGAAATTGGGAGCACGGGAAACCCACCGACGAGGACATATTCGTACCAGAGGGTTTCGTCTGGTATACCATCAAAGCGCTCGCAACTGCTTGTCTGGTACTGCGCGAAGGAACCATCGACGGCACTCCGGTTGATGGCTGGAGACCCATCACCCACCTGGACTTGCAGCTACCAAACGTACTTTTGGATGTTCACACTCCACCGACTCAGCAAGCTAAGGGAAAGTCAAAAGCGGGCTCCTCCAAGAGTGCTAGGCTCAGCCGCGCTGACACTGACAATTGGAGGGCTAAGGAGCCACCTGTGATGCCTGTTCTTGCAGACTTTGGTATTTCCTTCTTCAGCCCGGATCGTGGCGACTGTCCGATTACCGACAATCCTGACGACTACGTTATCCACGAAACTGACACGCGATATCCTCCTGCAAGTAGCTTTCTTTATCCGAAACATCGCTCGCTACGATAGCTAATAGCTCCTAGGAAATGCACCAACAAAAGGAACCGTACTATCTCGAGTTGGGTGAAAGAACTGATGTTTGGGGTATCGGTCACATCGCATGGAGACTCTTATGTAATAAGCAAGTTGATGCATTTGGTCCGATTCGTTGTGATACGAAACGCTCGCGCAGCACGGAAAAAGATCGCCAGGACAAAATTCCATTAGCCCTTAGACGTGAGCGCAACACTCGTCCAAACAATAAGAAGAGTGTACTCGCAGAGCAGAGCACCGCACAATATACAGCTGGGAAGTACGGGCGAGAAGTCAAAGAGTTGGTGCGGAGGTGCTTGAACTTCGATCATAATCTCAGGCCGACTCTAAGAGAAATCCTTGCTGAGGTCGATCAATCATTCTCGGAGGACGACGTTTTGACAGACCAAGCCAAGGACAAAGACGGGCTGCAACTCATTCTGCCAGATACTCCCGAGTTCGCCATTGGACAGCCAGTCGATGCAGCTAAAAGAAGGGGACGTGCTTGAGACTCAACCTGACCACTGCTGTAACACGAATGCAATCGCCACTCAATGTTGGCGAGTGCCCCCTTGACATCACCCTCTCCGATGTTCTCCACTATCCTTGGACCAGCAGAATTGAATCGGCCTTGCCGTGAGGCTTCCTGTGTCTGCGCCGCGGCCTAGTGAAGTCACTACTCAGGAAGTTTTTATTGATGATCATGGAGACGGTGCGCTCTCTGTCGAAGTACACCGAACTCGGCTGTCATTTCATCATCTTGGCTGGCTGGCTTGTACAATGCCATGTCTATCTTGTTGGACAACACCTCCACCGGTCAATTTGCTTCACTATGCAAGACAAGGTGATCGCAGAGCCATAGCCGACAAGCCGCCTCGCATTGGCCGTCCAATAAAAGACTGAAGACAGGGCGCGTGTGTTGCTGAATGCAAGGGCTGACTGAAGTTGGGTACGTGATACGAGATGGTTTCACAGCACGCCATCAGATCTACTTGAAGCTACAATGCTTTCAGACATGAAGAAGCGTCGTCTCGACATCACCACACCATCTCTTCATGTCCCTCAACGCCAATGTCTCGGATAAAAAGGCACGATCCTTGGGCTTAAAGCTTGATCCAGGTAGAAAGCTTCACTGCGGGCCTATCCGGCGTGGCATCCACGACGTCAGACAGGTAAGAGCTACAACCCATTGAGCAACTCAGGCGTAAGGCCAGCAAGAAGGTCTAAGACACAGACTACCCATGGAGAAATTGCTTCCGTCCACTGTACCCATCACACTGCGGGGAGAACTGGGGTAATCATACTAAGCCAACGGGTTGATACGAGGTATACCCTCATCGAAGAAGCGGTATTCGCACTACGATGAGACATAAAGTGGAACTGTCAACCCAAGATGTGCCTGATCGTCGTGTGTGATGGTTGTGTTCAGAATCCTATGGGGCTTACGGGACGCCTTACCCGCCCCCAGGTTTCTATCCGTTGCTTAGCCGTTGTTCCCGGGCTGACATGCTCAATTTGGATATAGATGCTCGCTCGATGTTCGAGGGAAGTTGTTTGGTAGAGCAGGGGAAAAGTGTATATAAAAACGTCGTTTGTCGGCTTGGAAGTATTCTTCATCAGCTCGACTCGACTCTACTCTTCAACTCCAATATCCAAACCAGGAAATCACTTTTCCCACACACTACCAATCCTCTACTTGACCATCACCATGCGTTTCGCTGCCGTCATTGCCGCCCTCGCCATCACGGCCACCGCTCTTCCTGCAACCTCTTTGGAGCAGACTGGAGCAGCTCTCGGTATGCTCTTTTCACATGAACTACCACATCCGCAGAAGCTCTTGCTAACCACTCTTTTCCAAATCAGATGCTCAGGCTGATGCTTGCGCCGACCTCGATGCATACCAGACCTGTACTGGAGCCTGCAGTGGGCTCGCCCCAGGCTTTGCCTGCGCTATCAATTGCCTCATCGCCTACTGCGCTTAAACTGTTACCCTTGGCGCTTAGAATTGTATTCGGGCGGCAAGCAAGGGGAAAGACCCTGGCTTCGTTGTTGGATGGGGGTAATCTTGGCCGTACTTTGAATCGTACTTAGGGTCTGTAGACTGGCCAGCCGTTCGTTGCTCGCATGCACAATGAAAATCTGTTAAAGTCAACCATTTCCAAGTGAAGGTCCATAGCGTGACGTGTCAAAAGAAAAAGTAGATTGTGTATAGATTGGTATCAAGTTGAGTACAGCCCCTTAACGCCAAAATAGCAAACCCTCGTGATCCAAGAGAACTCGCCGTGCATGACGCCGAAGTACCAAAATCCAGCCATTACACCATGCAATCCCGTCCCAACGTTATCATATCATGTCGTGTCGTATCCAGTTTATCAGCGCCTTCCAAAGCCACCGGCCATCTGCTTCTGCACATATTTGGCGCCCTCTTTCTTGATGATAGGTAGGGCATAGTCCTTGAACATGCCCATAGCCTGCCTCTGCCACTCCGGCTGTCCAGGCTTTCCCGGCTTGCCGCCTCCACCTCTACCACTCCTGCGGCGGTCGTCGTAGCGATCATCGTCGTCGTATCGACTGCGCCTGTCGCGACCTCCATCGTCGTAGCGAGAGTCGCGACGCGGCTTGCTGTTGAACATGTCGTCGTATTTGTTGTCGTACGGGTCATCGCGGCGTCTACGATCGTCACGGGGCCTGTCACGGCGGTCGCGGTCCTCGTAGTAGGGATCCTTGTCTTTGCGGCGGCGGTCAGACTTGTAGCCTTCGGACTTGTAGCCGTCGCGGTCACGGCGACCATCGTCTTTAGGCCTGCGAGGAGGATAGTGCTCGTCGTATGAGTCGTAGGTGTCCTCGTGCCTGGGTCGGCGGGGGCGGTCGTCGCGGCGATCGTCGCGATGCTTACGTCGAGGTTGGGGTGGTGGAGAGTCGGAGTCAGAGTCGGACGAGTAGGACGGCTGCCTGCGATGGCGACGTGGTCGGGCTCCACGAGGGTCGCGTTCTTCTGCCTCTAGGTTAGCTGGAGTTGCGAAGGGCGCTGACAGGATGGCATACCTCTGGGTGGTGGTGGCATAGATTCAGGTGGTGGAGGTGGCATGCCCTCCATTCCCGGCGGTGGTGGGGGAGGCGGCGGAGGATATCCTTCGTGCCCTGGTGGAGGCGGTGGAGGATAGGCGCCATGCGGGGGCGGTGGAGGGTTGTTGGGATATGGCGGCGGCGGCGCATCGTCGACAGGCCTCTCCTTGCGAGAACGGCGGTGATCGCCTCTTCGGCTATCGCGATAGTCGCGGTAGTCTCTCTTGTCGTCTTTGCCAGGCGCCCATTTTGGCTTGCCGTTCTCGTAGCTGTCAAAGCGGTAGGTGCCCGGATCTGCTTCCTTGTCAGCGCTGCGCCGATTCAATGCATGCAGGACTTCTTACGTGATGGGGGCGGGGGCGGCTGCTCCGGTGAGGAATGTCTGTCTCTATCGCGACGACCCATATTGCTTGCTTGTTGTAGCGGTCAAGGGTGCAGGTAGTGGTTGTGGAGTGTAGGTGTCAAGGTAGCGTGGTCTAATAGTCGGCGGCGAACATCTGACACTTAAAGCGCGGCTCTCGGCTACGACGCACCTCAGCCCAGTCTCACAAGACACCATGTCGTCATATGCCCTATTGCCTCAGCTCGTAGTGCACAAGTGGAAAATTTGCGGGGCTGCCGACGCATTCGAAGCTTCGCGACGGCGTGGCAGAGCTCAAGTGGGCTGTGTATGTAGGCTGTGATCATCGTGCATGGGTAGCACTTCTAGACGGGCCCACTTCTGCAAGCCATTGCCGTCCGCGATGCTCGACTGGCCAGGTTGTGCGCATGAAGAGAAGGGCCGTTCCCCCGCAATGAAGCGTGGGATAAACTGAAGATCAGGGTCTTCCGGAGATTTCGACGATGGGGTATTGCTACGTGGTGTGCAAAGGGTGGTGCTGCCTTGTGCTGATCTATCACACGCCCGCGAAGACGTCAGGGGACGCTGCACTGCCCAATCGCTATACCTGCTGACTGATCTCGTTACCTCAGTCTTGATATCCTGACCTTGTCCACGGTCACGGGAAGCGGTGAACCTCGAGACCACATACGGACTAGACCTCATGACTCAAGTCTTCGTCTACATCATACTCGGGCTTCAATCGTATCGCGACCGAATTTTGACTATTCGGCGACATCACAGTAGCCCACCAAAACCCAAGGACACTTCGTTCATCGAGCAGACTACGTCACACGAGCGGCACGATGGGAAGAGCATGTCGATCAAACTATCACATTCATCTAGGCTTGATCTGAATTTCCACCAACGTCACCGTGGTTCAGAACATCTCGATAGCTTGAGGGGGCTGGGAACTAGACTGGACCTGCATAGAGTTGCAGTCTACACGATAAGCGTCTTAGCGGCCTCGCTCTTGAACGTACTACGTAGCAGACTAGATCTGATCAACCTCTGCTGCTGCTGCTCTCTCTCGTCTCTGCTTCCTCTCTATGTGTGGGCTCAGAGCAAGCTCGACCAATATTAACTGAAGCCGTCCAGATGGTCACGATGAGCTCCTGCGCGAGAGCCCTTTTGAAGCTGCAAGCACCTCATACAAGAAAAAAACTGAACAGGTCTGCCGACTACGTTGACCCAAAACCTTGCAAAGTAGGCGACCCAGCGTCAACGTAGGCTCCAGGCTGTTCAGTTTTTTCCTAGGTTGGCGTGCAAGCATTGAAATCTAGTCGTCCTGTTAAGATGTTCCTGGACCTCGGTAAACTACGTGCACGCCGTCTTGGTTCGGACGCGAGCCCCAGAACTCTATCTAGCTAGCTTTGTTGAGATCTCAGGTACCATATCGCAATAATTGCTACCTCTATTGTGAAACATAGGTTACCTGTTCACAAGCTAGCGCGACTGCAAGCTAGCTGATTACAAGTACAGATTTTGATATTGGTTGGTTTCTGGCTTGTTTTTGGTTTGCCAGACCACCAATGGTCGTGTCACCTCATACAAGAAAAAAAAACTGAACAGGTCTGCACACTACATTGACCTAAAACCTTGCAAAGTAGGTGACCCAACGTCAACGTAGGCTCTAGGCTGTTCAGTTTTTTCCTAGGTTGGCGTGGTGTACTGGACTTGGTCATCCCAAACGACTATATCCGCTCTCGATACATATGAGGAGCTGGGATTCTATTGCCCGCTACCTCGCTAATAGTGATGCTGGCCTCGACCTTGAGGTGGAGCGTAATACCCGCGACCACGTGAGTTCGCAGAGTCACCTCCTCGACTCTGACCAGATGTGTATTGTCCACGCCCGCGCGGAGCTGCAAAGTCTCCTCGGCCTTGAACAGGAGCGAAATTACCACGACCACGAGGTCCGCTGTTGTAAACACCCCTGCCCCTACCGCCACCCCTTCCTCGACTGCCATGCGTAGGCAGAGACCAAAATGTCTCACGTGTCTCTCTGTCCACAGCCCAACTTCGTTCTTCCATCGTACGCAATAAAATTGGCCCGCCCTTCTCTTCCCTCACAAGTACCAAAGCTCGATTCGGCCGATTCTCTCGCTTCAGGACATCTCTCAGGCGTATAAGCAGAGCAACAAGTTTCCGCAATGGTTCCTGCTGGTTCTGCTCCCATGTCTTCAGCCTCGCAGTTGCGACTTCATGCTTGATCCTGGACACAATACCGGTACCTTTCTCGTAGGGTGCCGTGTAAAGCAACGATGTACGACCGAACCAGAGCTGATCTTGACATGGGACCAACCCTGATCCCAATGGGTTATAAGTATGAGTTTTGAGCTCAAGTATCTGGGCTGTTGGCACGATATGGCCTTTCTGCAGAACCCGAATTGGCGCGTTGTAATTGAACCTTGGAGGGTTCACGTGTGAGCTTCCGCTCACCGCTGCTGCTTCGGTCTGTGTGAGATCGTCGGGAATGATTCCGTCGTCGTATGCGTCTGCTTCGAAGCGACAGACGACGTTGAGAGGACCCATTGCATATCGTATGGCTCGATAGTGACTCGTTGCGTCCTCCATATCTTCAGTTTTCTTTGTGAAGGCTCGCTCGAAGCTGAACCCGCAACTCCGCCCGTCTGAACGTTTCCACCACCGTGACTCTCTGCGCACGATAACGAGTGTATTGAAGACTAAATAAAGATTGAGCCGGAGAGGTGCGTTGTTCTTGCCCTGAGCAAATTCCAACAACACACGGAGATTGTTGCGATCTGCGAGAACGTCGACGTTGTGGAAAGTGGTGTTTGGTGACATGACCCGGAGGGCATTGAACATCGGCAGGTACGGATTTTTCGGTTGGCGAGCGTAGTTGTAGTCGTTGGAATCCCAGCCACTATCCTTTTCGACAGTTTGCGGCAGACTTGGCGGTTGCCATTTTGCTGGCTCGCCGGGGACTAGATAGATGTGAGTCTAACGATACTCGACATTTCAACTGACAAACGCCTGACTGGAGGTCATGATATACTCACCGAATATTGTATTGGTACCGTCTTCCGCAGCCTGCCAGTTGTAGCAACATAACAGCTCCGGTTCCTCGTCCCATACTACTGGCTCTGGTACCGGGATGAGCGCGGTCTTTTCGATTGTCTCTACAACATGTCCTGCATCTCTTGCAATAGTGCTGTTGAAGCGCTCCATTTTTCTCCTGCGTTTCTCAAGTACGACTGGATCGATCACTTCTTCTGCAGGAATCTCCAGAACGGCATCGCCACCGTCCGAATCGGAGTCAATGCCATCTTCGGCCACAATGGTGGGCTCCACAGCACTGTCACCCTGTAGTTGCTGCCAACTCGAACCACTCAAGGCCAGGGCAATTTTCGATTCGAAAGAAATGGCTGCCGAGTTCATGTCCGGTGGTGAATATGCCGCCTCAGGATTCGGCTCGAGTATGCGCTGCTTTGGTGGGTTGGCGTGCGAGTCTCTTTCTGGCGTATCTGACTGATAGTCTTCTCTATCACGTTTTCTTCCACTACTGTCGCTTGGACCAGTAGTTCGCTCTCCAAAAGCTTAGGAGGGACGATGAGCGGGAGGGTTAAATTTAGGCGTGCATACAAACGTACCGTACATGCCTGCTGTTTCGCAGCGCCTTCCCGGCTCTTGCGCTAGAGGTTGATTATGCGCACGTTTGAAGGGGCCTTCACTTCGAATGGAGAAGAGGCACCTTCAGACGTATTTGTGGCGAAGGGATAGGTTGTGTTGGTACGGAGAAGCTGGATGGGCATAAACCAACTCTGTCTATCGGGTTAAATATGTTGCGTTCAAGTAACGTAACCAACGGGCACATGGACGTGGTGGTGTGAGTAACGAGACGACAGGTTGTAGGGAGCAGGGAGACGCGAAAGCCGGGGTGACGCGACTTGGAAGGCCTCGGTGCGCGAAACTGGATTAGCGCTTCGGCTAACAGCGTAGCGCGTGTGATCCGTCGATCGTCCAAAAGCACCTCCAGGGCTGGACAATTCAGAACATCCTCTGTTTACAAATGCTCCCGATTACTATACCTGCACTGCCATGTGTATCCGCAAGGTATACTCAGTGAATTCGAGCAACCTTTACTGTTGACCACGAGACCCGGTCGATGCAGTCTCAAGGAAACCAGCAAAGTGAACATAGCGTATTACTTTTAGGACTCTAGCACGATATAATTTAATACTATAGCGCCATTCATATCAACTTACAACTTCCATCCACGCTTCTTCGAGAGCGCCGTCTCCTGCCTGACCGCCAAATCCGCAATGATCTCTTCACTCCCACCTCCAACAACCTGGCACACGTTAGCATCAGCATACCATCCTGAACTTCACATTCCAGAGAAATCAAACATACCATCATCCTCAGATCCCGACTAATCTGCTCAACAATAGCACCAGGCCCACCCTTCTGGTACCCAGCACCACCGAAGATCTGCTGCGCCTCTCGGTTCGCCATCTCAAGTATACGACCACCGTGCACCTTGCACAAGGCGATCTGGCCCGCAATCTCCGGATCCTGCCACCCTAGCGGAGATTGCTGGATATGGTATGCGAGTTGTTCGAGCCATGCCCAGTGGCTCTCTACATACCGGCCAATTGTAGCGAGTTTATGCGCAATGATCTGGTTGGAGATGAGGGGCTTGCCGAATGTGTGTCGCTTGTGTGCGTAGTGGAAAGATTCGCTCAGACACGTTCGCGCTTTTCTGTTGCAGCCTATGCTCATGATGAAGCGTTCCTGCAGAGGTAGAGGTACGAAGTCAGTATATGTCTCACATGCACTTCGTACAGTCAGAACTTACCTTGTTGAAGTTGGTCATCACAATTCGAAAGCCTTCGTTCTCTTTGCCGACAAGGTTGGATACAGGGACGCGGACATCGTCCATCTCCACGAAGCTTGCGCCTCCACCCTTTTGCCCTGAGTTGGGAATGCGGCGGTGTGTAAGTCCGGATGAGTCGGTGGGAATGACAAGGACGGAGATTCCAGTGGCGCCAGGTCCTCCAGTTCGAACAGCAGTCGTCATGTGGGTAGCCCATGGCATGCCAGTGATCCATTTCTTGTAGCCGTTCACAATATAGTATTTCCCGTCTTCGGTCTTGGTTGCAGTGGTCTGGAGATTCGCGACGTCGGACTATACACTCTAGTTAGTATTCTCTCAATAAGAATTGTAGAAGTGTTACGAGATAGGTATACGCACTCCACCACCCGGCTCAGTAATGCCTAGACAGAAACTGGTCTCCCACGTAAACAAACCCGGCAACCAATTCTTCTTCTGCTCCTCAGTTCCATGATGTACAATCGGCGGAGCACCAATCACGCTGCCACCGCCAAGAGCAACGCCCACACCACCCTCAATCCTACTATTCTCATCCGTCATGATCAACAAATGGAACAAGTCCAAGTCGCTGACCGGTATGCCCGTAGGTCCAGGAACATTGCGTGGGCGATACGGTTCTGGCACGTCTGCGAATGCGTAACCAGTCTGCGCCCATTTGAGCCGTTCCTGGGCTGGAGCCTCGCCAGCTTCCTCCCATTCTAGCATATAGGGCTTTATGTTCGTGTCGATGTATGTGCGAAGCGCATTGCGTAGTTTCTTGTGCGACTCGTTGTAGTAAGGCGAGGCGAGGGCGGAGTACCACGACGGTTCGCTCCAAGGGGCGAGGTTGCCAAAGGTTTCTTTCTTCTGAGGCTGCATTACGGAGGGAAGAGGCGTATCGTAGCGCGGCTTGGGGTTTGCCATTGTGTCTGCTTGGTGGTATTGCGAGACATCTCCGTGGGACTGAGGAGTATACTTAGGTGTTGGACTATTTGGTAGTGAAGTTGAGATGCCGCGGCTGAGAGACGACGATCATGCTGACTCGCGTGCTAAACTGCGGGGGTGCGCAGCCGATTCGCGCGTCCCCAACGCGTTCGCCCTACTAATGTCTTTTTGGGTTCCGCGCTCGAGCATGAAGTCTTTCCACCAGTTAATACGGTTAAAACAGACCGTGCAAAGTTTGGAGATCTTCTTCGTGATCAGACAGAAGATTCTCTGGGCGATCAATCACGAGGAACGAGATGTAGTCACGGCAGCATGTGATGAATGACTTTGAAGTGAAACCTGCGAAGCTTTATTACTGTCTCGATGCTATTTACACGGACTCAAGTCTTCCGGCATAATGTCGTTCATTATTATATTCCTCCACGCGTATCAAGTCGTCGAGACGATACGTTTACCTGACGCAGTAGCCACCGTCGATGAGGAGATCGGAACCCTAGGATTGTTAGTGACTTGAAGTGGTATGATTTGGGCGTATAAACTTACAGTGCAGTAGGATGAGGCGTCAGAGGCGAAGTAGACGTAGGCACCCTTGAGCTCGGTGGCCTTGGCGTCACGGCCCATGGGGATCATGGAGTGCCACAGCTTCTGGATGTCCTGGGGAACGAAGTCGGAGAGACCAGTGTCAATGTATCCGGGGGAGATGGAGTTGACACGGGCAAAGTCCCTCCACTCGTTGGCAAGAGACTTGGCAAGGTGAATGCAGCCAGCCTTAGCAACGTTGTAGGAGGCCTGCTCCTGGGGGAAGTTGGCAATGTGGCCGGACATGGAGGAGGTGATGACGAGGGAGCCGGTCTTGCGCTCGCGGAAGTGGAGACCGACGGCACGGGCGCAGTTGAAGGTACCAGTCAAGTCGGTCTCAATGACCTCCTTCCACTGCTCAACGGTAGCGTCGAGGATACCGTTGTCGGCAGTCTTTCCGGCGTTGGCGATGAAGACATCGACCTTGCCGAAGTCCTTGATGACGTCGTTGACGAGCTTCTCGCAGGCGGAGTAGTCGTTGACCTGGCACTTGTAGGCCTTGACCTTGACGCCGTACTTCTCGCTCATCTCCTTTGCGTTCTTCTCGGCGCCCTCGGCGCGAGAGTTGTAGGTGATGGCGAGGTCGGCGCCGTACTCAGCGCATCCTCGGGCAGCCTCTGTGCCAATACCGGTAGGGCCGGAGGCACCAGTGACGATGACGACCTTGCCCTTGAGGCTGAAGAGGTCCTTGAGCTCGGTTGCTTGGGGAACGTTGATCATTGTGGCGGTTGTGAGGGGTTGTGAATAGAGTAGAAAGGTTTTGGGGTATATAGAAGAGAGATTGGGTTTGAGTGTGATGGAATAAGAAGATGGAGGCTGATCTGGAGGGGCATGGAGGGGTTCAAGTACTCCTCTGCGGCTGAAAAGACTTGATGGACAACTTCACGCATTAGCGGTTAGTGAGGGGCGCTGGGTCGACAGTGACGTGTGGCTCGTCCTAACAGCTTCTGGACGTCATGCCACCGAGCATGATTCGCCAATGGCACCAAGATGTGGACAGTCTGGCTTCACTATTCCGCTGAGATCCTAGCGACCGACGGGGGTGGGTGGGTTGCTGTGACGTTCCTGCCCCTCTGTTAGCTTGCTCTACGGGAGCTTGGGCCGCCTCTTCGTGCGCTCCGGCGCGTGAACCCATCGCATTGCTTTTTCTCCCACGCGTTATCATCGATTTCTCCGATCCCGTGGCTGACTTTTCCAATGCTACAACCTAATGACTTTAGGTACGCTTGTCTCGTGGCCTTGCCTAGGTCCCGCCGAGCTGTTGCATGTTCCCAAAGTGGAACCCCACGATTGATACACGACATGCGCTGTCAGCGATTCATGCTTTGACAGAGACATTTGGCCGTGTCAACCCGCGCGTCTAAGCTGCTCGTGCAGTACGAAGCCGCCACGCTGCCACTCGAGCACCTTATGCCATGTTGAATATAATGCACACCCACATGTGCTACTGTACTCAGCCTTGGCTCCTAGTAAGCAAGGCGCTGTGCATTGCTAACTGGGAGCCTGGCTGATACAGTAATCGTTACTCAGCTCTTTCTTCTTCATCGAGGCATCGGTCGTCTGCTCGATCCTGTTGGAAGATTCTGCCAGACCCTGCATGTAGCTGCAGGCGAACATGGTAGCAGCTCCGAGAATCTCTGCGTACATCGACATGTAGCAAGCGGATCCGATCGGTCGTGGAAACCTTGGAACTGCCGGCCTAGAGCGTGAGTGATGTTGCACGGCCGAAGGAAAACCGCGCATCCATGGAAGCTCCATGCGTGCGGAAGCCGCCTCCCAACCATCTGCGATCTTAACACGCAGAATCAATGGGGCTTTATTGTCAATATACATGACGTTGCCGGTATCCGCCGCACGCTGAGTTAGTTTGCCATGCTCCATCGGTCCCGCGCATGGCTGATGGGAATTTCATTTCTCCGATGCCGCAGACGCACGTGACACACGTCGTCGGCCAAACCTCCAATTCCATCTCAATAGAAACCTACGATATCGTATCTGGCTCGGCGAGCGGTGCTTGATCCAATATCAATGTCGAAACCGC